GATGCATTCAAAAAATGATTCTGAATTGATCGATAGAATAAAAGTTGGATCTATCTGCAGCCCTCCTGGATGTTACAACCATCCGTACAAATTTAATAAACCCTGCATTACAAGGGATGTAGGGTACACAAAATCACTTACACACATTGATGACAAACAACCCATTTAATTAAGAACATCAGTTGGAAAGTTTCTAAACTCTTTTTCAAATTAATTTATTAAAAATTATGCCAGTTCTATGATTCTAAGAGAACTGAAGCAGAGTCTGCAATCGTTTTTAAATATTAAAAAAAAAACTAATAATAATAATAATACAAATGAAATTTGTACTGAAAATTTATTAAAAACCTTTTTCACATTTTCTTCTTTTTTTTTCATTTTTTTCTACAATTCTTTCTGTATTTGTACTTAAAATGCTTTCTTTCACTCACCATAATAACAGTTACGACAAGAGCGAGTTAAAAATCTTACAAAAACATCCTGTCATTGCTTTTATTTGCACTCGAGACACTCTGTTTGCTCTTTCTATGCTTTGCTTAGGTGCTTAGCAAAGACAAACATTAACAAAGAAGAAGAGAACATAAATTCTTTTACGATATCAGGTGACGGAAACTGGCTTAATAAAAACTATTTGCAATTAATATTGAATAAAAAAAAAGTTTAAAAAAAAGTTTCGAATTATTATTAAATATTATTTAATACATCTCTGAAAAATTTTAATTTCTTTCGTCACTGTTTAAAGCTGTTGTTCAAAGATGAAAATTAAGCCATTAAACCAGTAGGCGTGAAATTTAAGCTGCTATCTTAATATTTGCTGGCCCGTATCACTTAGAAGATTAACACAACTAGGACAGTCCCCGTTGCTGGCAAGTGTTTACTAGATTTTACAAAATATTCTTTGGTTTGATAAAATTCTCCTTTTTGTTTAGAAAAATTCTTTTTGCTTCTTCTTCGTTGTTTGAACCTTAATAAACTTTGCAGATAGTTTCATTGTAGATACATATATATATATAAATATATATATACATAATATGCGTATTAACGTCCGCCGCATCACTAAAATCGTCTTTGGAGTTTCAATTAATTTTCGTTGACTTTATACCGAAATTTTCTGGAATTTTCTTCTTCTTCATACGATTACAAGATCATATAGCGCTTAGTGAATTGCATAATGTGAAAAGTGAGTGTCTTATAAAAGAGCTGAAAAGCTGCTTCTTCTTCTTCATACAGCTCGGAGCGAATTTCGTAGCGTGCGAAGTGATGGAGTACAAGTCGTTATATGGAAGTGTCTTACGAAAGAACTAAAAAGCTGCGAAGGTAACAAGAGTATTTGAAGGAGGAAGGAAAGATTCATAGTTTGATAATAAATATTTATATGTATTGTTGGCAAGCTTTAAAAAAAAAGGGAAAACAGCGATGTAAGCCGCTACATACGATAAACCAAAGTATGCCGACCACAATTTGAATTATTCCAGCGATGTTGCTAAGAGAAGACTGAGAGCTTCTTGTCGATTGCCCTCTAATCAACAAAAATCAGATTGATAAGCAGTCGTGTGGCAGATGCAATATTATCTGATTAGACACTCGGAGACAATGGAAAGAAAACGTATGCGATTTGAAATTGTATCGTAAAGATCTGATTTCAAATATATATAAGAGTGAGTTTTACTTGAAGGAAACGGTTCCAAAACGCATAGGATAGGTTTAATGTCTCTGACACGACAAGGAATTTCTTCTATGATTGAGTATTCGCTAAGCGGACACCTTCTCGGATCGGCAGGCCTGTCAGCTGAAATTGCACACCTCCATCGGTGATTTGAGGAATAAGTTTCGATCTTAATATTTGGGAGCACATTTAGAAGTCAAGATCGGAAAATCAGAAAATTTCAAATAAAAAAAATACAAATTTAAAGGTAATAGCTCCTATGACTCAGTTACTACAACTTGAACCAGTTTTCCTAGCCTTTATATTATATGACAACAAAGGCAAATTATTTTATATAAATTTGAAAGCAAAATAATGAATGACCGAATAAGTCGCAGAGTTTCGAAAACTTTCAAAACTATTGAGCCTAAGAATTTCAAAGTAAAAAAATTGGGTTAAATGCGTCATGACTTGTTTAAAGTTTAATAGTTTAATAAAATTATCCTAGTAATAATTGATTAAAATAAAGGCAATCGCCTGAGTGACCGCCTAGTAGACAAAGGATCTCGGCAGTTCAATGGTCGTGCTTTCAAATCGCAAATGAGGTAAAGATAGAGTTTTAAGCCGCTAGGCTTAGATGCTAGCGCTAGTGTTTTAAGTCTTTGGTCTTAAAATCTATTGCTCCGACATAATCGCAACAACAACAATAGAACAAAATTATTGTTCATTAAGGTTAAAAAGTAACCTTCAGCACAATTGGTTGGCAGAAAGCATCTTCCGAGACAGGGTATTTTCGTGGGCACACGAACACACTTTGCAACAGTTGCAGGACATGCAACTGTGGATTTTCATTTGCTTATTTCCCGACAAAGTCACGGACGTTTGGATATACAAAGCTACTTATTTTTACCGAAACCCGTCATTTTAAAGGATTACTTTTGTAAGCCGTCACCTTGACCTAAAAGTTCCCGAACCTTTTACACCCATCATCGTTATCCGACAAAAGGCCACGAAAAAGGAAAAAAAAAGACTAAATTTACGATATCTTCCATTTTTGCGAACGGGAATTACCACACACTGGAGCAAAGAAACAGACGGACTTGCTTACATACATTCCGAATTTGAAAGTGGTCAAGAATTTATATACTTCGGGGGTTTTGTGAAGTTTGCTTCTGGCTTTTGAAGAAAAATTAAATTAAATTAAAAACTATAATATTGAGTAGGCATGGTCAACTTTTCTCATTTTTGTACAAGCACTACAGCATCGCTCATTGAAAGTACGTTCAAATTTTGATAGATTTGTCTGCTACAGTTTATGACGAGCATGACCAGTCTTTTATTCCTTTTGCAAAGGAGAAGTATTCCCAGTTTACATAGTACTGTAGGCGTGTCCTTCGATCAATTTGGACCATTTTCAATACCAGCCTGTATGCAAGAGCTTCCAATCTTTTTGCTAAAGTCAAAGTAGATAGCTTGATTATTGCGACCAGAAGAATGCTTACAGCGCAGACGGACAGACGGAATGCATATACTGCTTCCCTTCAGTTTACAAAGCACATTGAGGACCAAGATAGCAATAGCGATGATCAATGTGTTTCGTGTGTGATTTTCTCCACCTTAATGCTGCAGATATACAAAGAAAATTAGAATCAAAAAATTCCGATTTCGGATTGGTTGACTAAGGATAACAATTAAATTTACATATTGAGCGTTTTTTCTCTACAATATTTTATAAAAAATCATTAAAAAGCCCAAAAGTAAAAGCATTCCAAAAACACACACACAAAAACGCTTCTAGCAACAGCAACAACAACAACGACGACAACAAACCCAAATAGTAACTCATAAATAAAATCGTGTCATAACGTAAGCCTTAGGAAAAGGTACAAAAACAAAACCGGAATCAAAGTCACAAAAATGAAGAACAAATCAAATGAAATATATAGATATGTAGAAAGAAAAAAAAAAAAAAAGGAGTGTAACAACAACAACGAAAAATACACCGGCAACAACGCTGCTGGCAGAGTGAAAAGCAGTAGAAACAGCTTTACACGAGAACAAAAAAAAATTTTAATAAAAAAAAAAAACACAAAAAAAAAACACTTAAAATTTTATAAAGCGAAGCATAAAAAAAGGGTTGCCTACAGTTTTTGAGTAAACACGCGACAAATGCTCAGCAAAAAACAAAAAAAAAAAAGGAAAACAGTAATAAACACACATAAAAAATATAAACACTAGAGGAGCAAAAAAATACGAAAACAAAAAAAAAAAAAGAAAACAAAGAGAATAAACCATGTGCGCTCTCTCTCTCTTCGTATAGTCATACCGTTTTGTATGGTCGTACTGCTTGCACTTATAGCACTAAGAACCGAGTATTCTGCTCAGCGAACATGCACGGACATATTCAACCGTATATAATTGTTGCGCAGCCAGTCACCTATAAACTCTCATTTGAAAAAAAAATGTAGAAATTCTCATGAATATGATTTTTTTGTGCTCTGCCAATACACAGTTAAGTTTTTGCTATACTATCGTGAACATTATTGAATTATTTTTAAGCGGACAGACACTCTTGTAACCGAGAAAAAAAAAAAGAAAAAAAAACCAACACACAATCCATGCATTTGAAGTATTTTTGTAAAGAAGAGCATTCAGTAGTAGTACTACACAGAGCAAAGGAAAGAAAAGCAGAAAAAAAAAAATAAAATCAAACACAAAATTTACAACACACAAAAAAAAAATAAATAAATAAATAAATAGGCAAATAAATATTATCTTTTGGAGAAAAGTTGTTAATAAATAAAAAAAAAACTTTTTAAATAAATTTCATTTATATTTATTATTATGAACAATTGGAAATTTTGGAAAACAACTTTTAACCGTGCACGGGCCATATAATAAAGTGAATTTTGTTTATTTAGAAAACAACAAAAAAAAAGAAAAAAAGCAAAAAAAAAAAAGATCATTTAATAAATAAAATCAAGTGTATATTTTTGGTGCGCGGCCATTTTTTTGTGTTGTGCTTGCTTTTACACATTTCGTGTATGCGAAAAAAAAACCCGAAGAAGGAGGCGAAGCATTGCGTTTAGTGTATTTTCCTCTTTTTTTTCGTTTTTCTTCTTTTTTTTTTTGTTTTGCAAGTAACGAAATTCTTACTAAAAAAACAAAAGCACAAAAAAAATAGTGGCTAAAAGAGCGCAAATTGAAAAACGAATTGTGCAAAAAAAAAAGAAAAAATAAAGTGAAATAAATATGAATGAAACGTTTAGCAGAGAAAGCAATTAAAAATTCATGAAAGCAAACAACAAATGGATTAGTTTTTAAATAAAAATTATTATATTTTTGAACAAAAATTCATCCATTAATTAACTAATAACGTATTAATTATATTAAATAGTACCTGTAGTTATGCAAAAACAAAAAAAGGAGAATCTATTTACTATAAGCAGCACGTGTTGCCATTCAATTCTTTTTTTATAAAGTAATTTAAACAACTTCACTTAACCATTGGTTCGTATTAAATTTTAATGATATGCAGTACATGTTTGTTATTGTTGTTGTTATTTTTGTTGTTGTTGCTGCTGTGCATATGTGCATAGTTAGAATAGCATTTACACACTAGTAGTTATATTCATTTAGTTATTCTTATTATAAAATATTTGTATTTTTTCTCTTTGTTTCTACTCATGTTGTGATTGCTTTTCTCCTTTACCCTCTAATCAAAAAAAAAAAAAAAAAAAAAAAAAAAACGTTATTTACTTACCATTATTTAATTTTTTTGTATGACCACTACTTCTTTTTTCATTTACGTCTTCTCATAAGACATCTATTTTTTTTTGTGTTTCTCTTTTTTTTTCTTTTTTGTTTTTCCTTTATAACCTTTTAGTGATCTTTTATTGCTCATCATCTTGTATTTCGTTTTTTTTCTTTCCTTTTTTTTTGTATGTCGTATGTAAAACTTGTTTGTGTTTTTTGTCATTCCTTTTTTTTTTTTTTTTTTTTATTTTCAATAGGTTTTCTTACTTCTACCCGCAAGTTAGCGCCTCTCAATAAATTATCATTTGTCCACTTGCGTTTTCTCTTTTTTGTGGCGTGTGTGTGTGTGTGTGTGTGCGTGCACATTTGTTTAATTTTTTTTTTCTGCTCCCTCACATTAACGAAAAAAATTTGCACATTTTGTCCTTTTTTTTTTTTTTTTTTTTTGCTTTCGCAAAGATTTTTGTTATTTGAAGAGCATATATATTACGCTCATATAGGGCTAAAGATGTAGAGTTGCCAACAATTTTAAAAACGCATTTCTTAAACATACTATGCGGCCAGTTAGTTATTTTTTTTTTTGCTTTGTTGAAATTAAATGGATTATAAGCCAATAAGAAATGTAAGTGATCAGATTATTCTGCCAGAAAATCTTCTTTTTTCGCAATTTTTGTTTTTGTAACTTTAGTTTTGAAAGTACTTTTCCTCTCAAAGAAATGGATAAATACACGTTGCTCTGGTTTTTCTTTAAAAAGGTCTACGATGTTTACATATACTAGAATTAATCTTATTTTTCGTCAAGGTTTACGTTCAGTACGGACGGACGGTACGGAGTAGTCCAAAGTTAAATAACTTTTTTGCTTGTATATATGCTGCGGAGAAGTTTCTTCTGTAATGGCATATATACCCAAAAATATTTATGTAATCTTAAGTTTTTCAATTTTGAAATCATTTACATTGATATAGGGAAAGATGCTCAAGTTGATTAACAACTTATAGGCCTTAATGATTTTATTATATTGATCCACTTATAAAGTACAGTTAACTTGTAATATATTGCTCTATAATCGAAATCCTTTCTCTGGAGTAAAAAAGGAGAGAAAGCTTGATCCCCATCATCCAAGCGTTTGTTTACTGTTTTAAGGTTTAAATCAAAGAGTATGCCTGTAGAGAGAGAGGGATTTTTCGACTAGAAGGCAATGCTTTCATTGGATGTACCTCATAGGCCAGAGAAGAAATGTTTTTAGAAACTTATTGAGTCTCTTGTATTTTTAACTACCTTTACGAAGCTTTTTGTTACTTTCTCTTGACATTTCTATCGAAGTGCAAGCGTACGCTTTTTTAAATATGCGTCACTTGTCAAAAAAAAAAGAGAAGGATTTTTTTAGGTACCCATTGTCAGTCGAATAAAGAGGTGAGTTCCTTATCTTTTCAGCTATCATTATGAAAAGTCTCCCTTCCTTCTTTCTCTTTGCCTTTCGAAAAGAGAAAGAAAGGGCATAAGAAGATTTGTACATCCCAAAAGAAGGAGTGTATTGTTCGTTTCGATCTACTATTGAAGGGGAAAATTTTATTAGTTTCGTTCTTGAAGTTACACTGGCCAATAGATCTATACAAGAAATGTATTAATTGTCGTGATCCGTATCCCTTTTTTATATGCGATTTTCATTTTAATAGAAAGCGCTTTGAAGGTTTTTTGTTTACCAGAACTTGGCAACTCTACTCACACTTTACTACTATGTCATTTCTTTTTTTTTTTAATTTTACTTTGTTTACATATTCGCATACATGTGTGCGTGTATGTATGATTACCTACATTTGTCCAATTGTCTGACCGCGCGCGCAAACACGTATACGACAAAAACCAACCGATACAAAATAAGAAAAAACTCCCTCACTTTAATTTCTCAAGCTCTCGCGCGCGCTCTTTTCTCTTTTTTATTCTGATGATTTTTTTTCATGTATGTATACTATTTTTTAATACACATCACACAATGTGTGGGTTTAAAAGAAAAAATGAAAAAAAAAAAAAAAACGAAAACGATTGATTCGACTGTTATTACAGCACCAAAAAAGAAAGAAAAAAAAAAAAAAGAGAAAGATTAAAAAAGTAATGATTATAGAATAAAAAAAAAAAAAAAAGAAATGAAAAAGAAACGAAAAGAAAACAATGTGACAGTTTAATTGGACTTTAATGAATAAATATTCAGTGATTTAAGAAAAACAAATTAAGTTTATTTAGTAATTTTTGTTGGCTTTACATTTTCGTTTTTTTTTTTTTTTTTTCGATGGCAATGAAATGAAGTAATTTTAGTGAGTGGATTCAATTGTAAAAAAAACAAATGTATATATATATATTTATATAAGGGCAGACTATAATCAATTAATTTTAATTTTATTAGATATATTTTTCGCAAAAGAAGCAATGTTTTTTATCATTACAATTAGAGGTTTACATAAAAAAATTCTTTTAAAATGAATTAGCAATTAACCAAATAATGATAGGCGATAATTAATCAAAAAAAAAAAAAAAAAAATTGATTTTATTTTATCATCAGAATCAAAACAATAATTTTTTACTTTTTTTTTTTTTCTTGCTTATGTTTTCCAATTTATCTTTGCAATGTTGTCTTTCGTTTTTCTTCTTACGAAATTTTGACAATATTTTGATTACCACCAAAAAAAATAAATCACAACATGAACAAGTTAATGATTTAATTTTTTTATGCATATATGGTATTTGTTTCTGTTCTCTTGTTTGCATTATATATATATATATATATATAGTATATTATACACGACGTCCTTTCCATAAACAACGTATAGAGACATAGGGTTAATTTACGAATGAAATAACATTGGATTGAATTGCAACAACAACAATATCTATATTAAATATCATAAATAGTGTATTGTAATAGGTGTATGTGTATGTTGTGTATGTACGGCATGCGACTCGATATTTATTTATTTTATTCTTTTTTGATAGTATTTCTCTGGTCAGCTGGCTAGTTATACTTGCTTTTCGCACATGTATCGATTGCAACTCTATTAGATTTTTTATGAGACTATTAAACTGTCCGCTATCTATTGTACTCTTTTTATATTAGATTATGCTCGAATTAGATAAGAAAACAAGAGAGAGAGGGAGAGAGATAATTCATTTATTATCCTAAGTGCTATCAGCTTTTCAAAAGTATGCTTGCTCAGATCGCTAGAAGTTAAAAAATTGTTTATCAAAATAATGTAATGTAAGGGAAAAAAGAAACTGACAAGCCAGGCGTTATTTTACGTAAGATTTCCATTTCCTAGGAACTGTCGGAGTTTTAAACTTACAACCGATGTATAGATAAGTTTTTGTTAAATCAGTTCGGTGCAGTCATGCATATGCGTACACAGTAGCCCAATAAAGTCTTCATACAGTACAGACAATTGAAATGAATTCTCCCATAAGGAATCGCACTTGGGGCTTGAGGGTGCAAAAAAAATATATTTTCTAAAAAAAATAAAAACTTAAACTAAATAATAACTTAAATTATAAGCAATAAACACTATACATTAATACGATAGGAAAACAAAACGATTATAAAACAAATAAAAAAAAATATATTCAGTCGAGACCGAATCTTTTATACCCATTACCTTTATCCTAAAAAAGGCAAAAGCAATAAACGAACAAAATTTTTCATGCTCTATAATATGGAGTGGGCGTAGGCGATTCTTTCCATTTTCAAAATAAAAGTTTTCGTCGTATAGGCATGTGGGCGTTGTAGTCGTGTTCTTAGGCCAATTCCAAATTCTTTTGCAAATTTGTAGGCGATATCTTCATTTTCGCTAACGGAAGAATGCTTACCACAAGTACAAAAACGTTGCGAAAATAGACAGATGGACAGACGAATAGGCGGACATGTTTACGCGCATTCGCCAAGAATTTATATACCTTATGAGGTTTTTGAAGCTTGTTACTACGTGTTATGGAAGGTATTGAAAAAAATAATTAAATTTTGATGTACTCTAACATTGGGTAGACGTGGCCAATTTTTTCCATTTTTGTACATAAATGCTGTGCAGTATCGCCCAAAGAATATGCGTTCAAATTTTTTTACATTTATTTGCTGCAGCTTATGAGAGTATTGAGCAAAAAACCAATTTTTCATGCCTTTTGAAAAACAGAGATTTTGTTAGTTTAGGCAGTGGTGTGGGCGTGCCCTTCAACCGATTTCGCCGATTTTCAATACCAACCTGCACGCGAGAACTTTCAATGCTTCTGCCAAATTTAAAAACGATAGCTTCTACAGCCGTTGCACAGACGGACAGACGGACATGCTTATATCGTTTTAGATTTTGATGCTGATTAAGAATGTGCTTACTTTGTGGGCTCTCTGATGCTTCCTTCTGGGCGTTGCAAACGTTTTGACAGTGTGAATATACCCCTCATCCTTCGTTGATTGGTACAATTAAGAAGTGAGGAAAAATCGTACGGAGAAATTGCAATAACACAGATACCACAGTCAATAATCGTCGATCAGGCCAACCAAACACTTTGAGAGCCAATAAAAAAAAAACTATTGATGATGATAAAAATTTTTGGGGAAAGCATAATTTTTAGTGTGCAAGTCCAAGGTTAAACAAAGAGTATGGTGGAGACATAACAAAGCGGTAGTGATCCAAAATGTACTTAGTAAGTGTAAAGCGCGCTGAAGAGTCTGTTACGGGGTGGGGCTGCATCTTTACGTAGTAGGAAATTTGATTTTTATTGACACCAAAATGGGTCGTCACGTTTATCTCAATCTTTGGAAAGACAATTTGAAGACTTCCGGAAAAAGTGCTTAGGAACGGTAAAGCTCGCTGGGGGGCATGCCTACGGCTGGAGTAGTAAATCTGGTCTTTATTGACACTAAAATGAGTCCTCCCGAAGCATACATCTCCTATTGCACGGGAAGGGCTATTTGGCAACATTCATCACCTTCAATCATCGGATTTGAAGGCAATTGAACGCATATGGCGTTAATTGTTCAGGCGAATGCGAAAAAATAATATTTCCAACATGGAAGACTGTAGTTGAGAAAGGGAACAAGATTGGGACAAAATTGGTGGTGAAGAACTCACTTTTTCAATGCCAAGACTATGGACTAAAGGTAGTCCAACAAAATATTAGTTTTTTTCATTTTATTCACAAATAGTATATTAACCACCACTATCAGTGAAGTAAACTTCATGTACACTTTTCCCTATGTATTGAAGTATATTTTTTGGACTTGAAGTACACTTTTTGTTTCCAACTTTATCCTAAGTAAATAAAAAAGTTTTTGTATTTTAGGAAAAATACGTTTTGATCCTAAAATCCGTGAGTGCGAATCTTTTAATTTTTTGCACTGTACGTAGACTTTATTGAGCTACTTATATATATATATGTTAAGAGAAATATTTGCCACAAGAATTAATTTTTTTTATTTCGACCTCTGACTGCACGAAAATCGATATACATTTGTTTACAATTTCTCCTTTATTGCTTACACTACTTATGGCACAAGGGTATATTAATTTTGTATGGATGTATGCAACGCCCAGAAGGACTTGAGAAAAATCCTCCGTTCATTATTCCGATCGGTACAGAATCACTTTCTGTGTTAATCTAAACTTGTCTGTGCGTTTGTCTGTCTGTACACATTGTGGTCTTGCATCCAAACTACAGGAAGCAACATTTGAGATATTCAGATGAAGTTTGGTATACTTGCGTGTTTTACCGCAAGGACGAACACTTTGAAAATGCTGCGGACGGGACCTCTTCTCCGATAATTTCTCATATAAAGCTTCATTTTGGAAAGTCGTTATATGAGGAACCGTAATAAGTGGAGTGGTGTGAGATGGACCGTGGTTCAATGCAGGGTTTTTTTTATACCCACCACTGTAAGATTGGGGGTTTATTGTGTTTTTTCCATAATATATGTAACACCCAAAAGAAAGTTTCGGAGACTCCATAAAGTATATGTCTTCTTAATCAGCGTGATATTCTGAATTGACTTGGCCTTGACTGTCCACATGTATGATGTTTACTGTTGGCACTCCACTGGTGCCAAAAATGAAGGCATTGACTTTAAATTTGGGAGAAACATTGAAAGTGTCTGCACGCAAGTTAGTATTAAAAATGGGCCAAATTGGTCAGAGTGGAAGCGCTTAGTAGTGCGTGAACTGAACGCAACTCTGGTTTTTTAAACAAATTTTTTTTGATTTTTGTTCGTTACTTGGAAATTACTAAAGTTTGAAGTTGAAAACTTTCCACTTTTGCTTTGCGAAACACTTTACTCTCTGGGTCCAAAAATGAGACCAATCGGTCGTGTTCACACAAAGTTACGAATAATCAAAATTAATTTTTATTCACATTTTTGAGATTTTATGCTGATTTACCATAAGGCAAACTAAATGAAACTACTTTGTAAACGCCTCAAATGAACATATATATATGATCAGCCTAAAAATCGGTCAGTTTTGAAATGAATATAGTTCTTAATATTATATAAAGGGTATCAAATAAAATAACTGGTAGAGTAGAATACGAAAAACATAGAGGCGAGAATCCAAGATTAGGGTTCCGACGAATATCACTATCTTACCTATTTTTTTTTCTTAACTTTTCTTGTTAGCGGAGCTGTATCTCCAGGTATCGAGTATAAATCTAATTTATAAATTCTATAAATAACATGAACATACAATACACAAACATTTATAAATATAAGTTTATCCCCCTTTTCATGAAGAACACCTTTGTACTCCCAGCTTAAAAGTTAGGATCGTAAGAATTTGATATGATATTTTTAATCCCTAGTATCGTATATCGTATCAAAGTTTACAACCTCATATTAACTTAGTAGCTTACTAACTTCTTCATCCAGCATCACAAGTTTAATGCAAGTAGCTCAAGTATACCGCATACTCTCTTGAAACAATGGAAATAGTCGTCCTTTGTCTATGAGAATCTCCTTAATAGTTAGGCAATAGGAATGACTTGAAGAGGAAGAGCATTTTCAGTCAAAAGTATTTGATAAAAATATTTCATAGTAATTGCTGGGCTTTTTCTTAAATTCTATCTATAATTGTACTTTAAAAAGAAATCCTCCTAAGTGAAGCTGCCTGCTAAGGCTTTGGTTAAATTGCGAGTCTAAACAGTAAATAGAAATAAAAGAATTTCAAGTTTCGGCGCATGGGATGAATATGTAAATTTTGATCTTCCGGAGACTCACTGCTTTGTACAATACTTCGTATCTCTTTATAGTTACTTTCTTTACTTTGTTCTTTCCGTTCTTACGTAGATTTTTATCCATTAAATAAATATACGCTTAACTTATAACTGCTGGATATGCTCTTCCAGCTGTGTTAAATATTCTTATGACTTACGAAATAGTCGGCGATTGCCGCTCGGTGGAACCGCCCCCTGCAAGAGTTAATAAAGCGCTGATGAATTTTAAAATTTATGTTATATGCATGGAGGCTGCTCCAATTATCTGATGGCCTTACCTGATGGTAACGCATGGAAACCGGTTACCTTACGGAGAAATTCATTCTAAAACCTATCAAAGAAGTAAATACGTTTTCTTTTTTTATTGCTGATTTCAGTTCTTCTGTAGGAGATGGTTTGGTGAGCGAAACAAATAGCACGTCTTAAACTGGAGATCTTTACGCCTTTACAGCAACGAACGGGTGTTGTTGTGTCACTTAGTAGTCGCAACGTTAACAGTAATAATAATCGAGCAAATCAAGGGGGCGCAGGTAGTGGCGGAGCAATCGATAGCCTTAATTATTATCAGCGAAATAACTCACCTTTAATGGCGGACCTACCCAGTGCCGGAGTTATTTCAACTCTAGCCTCGAATGATTATTTGCATCGCACCACCATAGATCAATTGCGTTCCATGAATGAACGCAGTGTTCTGTCATCGCTTAGTCATTTGACTACAGCCGATCTGCGTACGGCTCAACTGGTGCATGAATACAATAAACCGTTTAATATAAATGAATTTCGGCAGAATGTTGAACGGTTGGATTATTCGTTGAAAAATGGCTTAGTTGGTGTCAATCTGCATCAGCAGCAGCAGCAGCAGCAACAGCTACTTGCTGAGCAACAACAGCAGCAGCAGCAACAGCAACAACAACAACAGCAGCAGCAGCAGCAACAACAGCAGCATGATCAACATCATCAACAGACGCAGCAACAGCAACAGCAATTAAAACAATCCTACAGTCCACCAAATTCACCGACAACGCCCACAATGAACGAGCCTGTCGAACAAAAGGTAAGGCAAACTTGTAACTGTAAACATAATCATTTTTCGTTTATTTACCCTCTTCCCGGCAGTACGATCCCACAAGCGAACAACAACAGCACCATCATCAGAAGTCGCATCGGTCCAATCACCAGCATCAGAATTCACCGGATGGACAAAATGCAAAACCATATAAATGCACGCAGTGCTCGAAAACATTTGCCAACTCCTCGTACCTTTCGCAACACACGCGTATCCATTTAGGCATTAAACCGTACCGTTGCGAGATATGTCAACGTAAATTTACCCAATTGTCACACTTGCAGCAGCATATACGCACCCATACGGGCGATAAACCGTATAAATGCCGCCATGCGGGTTGCCCTAAAGCTTTCTCCCAACTCTCCAATCTACAGTCGCACTCGCGTTGCCATCAAACTGACAAGCCGTTCAAATGCAATTCTTGTTACAAATGCTTCACGGATGAGCTAACTCTACTCGAGCATATACCGCGGCACAAGGACTCCAAGCATCTGAAAACACACATTTGTAATCTGTGCGGTAAATCGTATACCCAGGAAACGTATCTGCAAAAACATTTGCAAAAGCACGCCGAAAAGGCCGAAAAGCAACAGCAACGCCATGCGAACTCCAGTGTACAACATCATGTGCCTGCCGGTGGTATTGGCTTAAGTTTGCAACGTCAAGTGGTGATGAATGCGGCGGCGGCCGCTAGTGATGCCAATGCCGCCTATTGGGCGAAAGTGGGAAGCGATGGCGCTGCTGCCACTCTAGCTGAAGCCATACAGCAGCAGCAGGCCCAGCAGCAGCAACAACAGGCACAAAATGGCTACAGTTTCGCTACGCTACAACAGCAGCATCAACAGCAACAAGAATTATTGCAGCAACATCATCAACGTTTAGTGAACGGAGCGAGTAATGGCGGTGGGGGTGGTGATAGTGCGGGCAGCGGCAGTACTCCAAATCATTCGCAAAGTCCCAACGACGAAGGTGAAGATCTGGTAATACGTCAAACATCCCAACATCATCATCAACAACAACACCAACAACAACAGAATTCGCCTAATTCGATGGTAGGAGTTAATAGTTCGGCGTACGATGTGAAAACCACTTCAGCCTTTACACCCATCAATACGGCGCCACCTCATCTACAAGCGGCCGCTTTAGCTCAGCAAAGACCACCTGCGGCAGCGTATTTATATCAACAGAACGCAGCGGCCGCCGCCGGTTTTCCCACACAACTCATATCGTTGCATCAAATACGTAATTACGCGCATCAACCGGGTGCCGCTGCAGCAGCTGGCCTGCTGGCTAGTGATCATTTACTAGGGCTTAGTGTTACAGCTGGCGGGGTCGGTCTCAAAGATAAAACTCAATAGTATAACACAAAAAAGCACAAAACTCAATATTTAACTTCCGCAACAAAAGCAACGCCAACAACAAGAACAACACATCAATCGCAACTGCAACAATCGCAGCGAATGTCCTTAACAAGCACCAGCTGAGCCTGACCCGACTATGATTATGAGATAATAAAGATACCTACACCTAAATACAACAACAACAACAACAACAAATACATTTAGTAAATATAAAACAAACATGTAGAGATTTATAACAATTGCAGCAAAAATACAACAACAACAACAACAACAAAGTATGTAGTTGTTTTAAGCGGCAATAATTTAAACTTTTAATATTTTCTACATCTACCCCTCCCGATCGGGCCCCAGCGCCAGCCGGCCCCTCTTGTATAAACTCAGGTTAAAAACAAATTCTCGCTCTTCTACCCCGCCTCCCAAGATCTTTCCCATTGTTTTTTTAGACAACGAAAAAAAAACATAATTCATTTCAAGTTCAGTGAGTTACTTTTCTTTGGAAGAAAAATAAAAAGATTCTTAAATATTTAAATTGAAATAAATTTAAAAATTTGATGATCTTTTTTTTCGTCGAAGAGATTAATATTTTTTTATTTTTTTTTTTATTTTTACATATAAATTAACATCATTTGTCATATCTACTTAGTTATGTTCGCTCTCTTTTAGTTTATATTGTGTTTTTTTTTTTTTCGCCCAAACTTCATTTATAAGAGTATTTTTAATTGATAGGAATACAGTACCAAGTACTGTGTTGTAATGAAAAAGAATTTTTATATATTGTGAATAAAAAAAAAAAGAAATAAAACAAAATTTCTTTCACTCGTTCATTGATTTTCTCTTAATTTTTTTTTTTTTTTTTTTTTTTTTTTTTTTTTTAAGAAAATAACTTTTAAAAGCATTCGCGAAATCTCGTCTATAATGTTTTTCAAAAATTATGTAAAAGAATGAAAACGATATGCGAGGAAGAAAACCGTAGATATATATGTAATTTATCTTAATTTTAAATTTGAATTAATTTATGTATACATCTATGTATTTAATAATAAAAACATTATTTGTTAATTTAGGCTATTAAAGTAAAGCTGTATGCTGTACGTTAGAACTAATAATAATAATATTATAGATATATATATATATATATATATTTAATGATAAATTATAAATAAATGAGAAAACAGAAGAAACTTCTTCAAAAGTATTTTATAAAAGCAATAAAACGATTACTTTTTATTTACGAAGAAAGGGGCGAAGAACAGGTAAGAAGATTATATTCGCCCATGACCGACCTTTTTTTTATTTTTTTTATTTTTGAATACTCATCAACTTTGCTCTGAAAAAAAATCACATCCGATATTTTGTAATATTGGATGGGCATGGCTCATCTTTTCAGTTTTCTAGCAGCGGGGTCGAACAACTTTTTCGCATTAACGCGTCAATTTTAATTCGCATATCACGGATGGGCTCAGCGCAAAATGCAACTGTTATTAAAAGACCCGCATTCTGCATTAACTTTTCTTCACTCACTTCAATCGCTTACTGTTACGGCTTAACACGCACATCTCAAAGTTAATAGCTGCACCGCTGAGCCAGTAGAGAACGCTGATACTATAATTTATTGGCAGAATTATTCTATGCGAGCGAATTGAGTTATTTGAGAGCAGGACGTGATTTGCGGGCCGGTTGTGGCACATGCCCGGCCTACAATATATAATCTGTTATAGTGGGTGAATAATAAGCGAAAAACCGGGTTTTTTTCGCTGTTTTCAATGTACGTTGTGAGCGTGTGCTTTGACCAATTCGATCCTTGTGCAACAATTTGCAATGTATTTGCTAAGTTTGAAGCCGATGAGTACAATGCTTTCCACAGGCGGACGGACGGACGGACATGCTTAAATCGCTTTAGATTTTGATGCAAATACATTTTGAAGCGTACCTGAAATTTTATCTGGCAAACGTTCTGACGAGGTTTGAGTGAGGGCTACAAAAAGATACATAATGTCAAGAATGAACACAAATGAAAATGATAGATCTTTGAAATAAACGAGAAAAATTTTTGTAAATTGTGGATTGTGTGTGTGTATTTGTCACATAATCCTATAAATTCCTTCCCATTTTTACATACTTTAGGTAAGTATAATAACTGCCGAAAGTTGATTTTAAACTTAATCCATTAGTAGTCGCGGGCGGCAGCTTCAAATTCTCAAAATCCATCTAAGGTCCTCAGCCAAGGGAGCACATTCATTTTAGGGTAAATTTTTTCTGTGAGCTGTCTACTAAAACAGAAAAACTTTTGTAAGTTGGGGGACGTGCAAGTTCACCAAGTCAGAGCATTTCCATTTCAAGATAGCCCGATGGTATCTTTTCTCTAACTGTTAAATCTCTACCTTTCCTGGAATTATAGGTTACTGATGTAGCACTAACCTTTATGGCTAATTTCAGATGTCGGTGAGGGTAAAGAACGGTAAATGCTTTTACGGAAGTGTAAGTAATAAGAAGTAAGATTCAGATTTTCATCTCGGAAGGCTTAATCAAATCTAATCCAAATTTTGAATCAATATCCTTGAGAAGATTTGTCGCTTATTGCGCGTAACTTTTCTAGGTAATTTTTCTCTTTTAGGCTAGCAGGAGAAGGCCGTAAATTTTCAAAGTTAATCTATAGCATTCAACTTCGCAGCACGATATTTATACGAACATTAGTATTCATTAAAAGAATCTTAAGTACAGAAGCTCTCCAGATAGCGAAAAAGTAAAATCTTTGTGTTGTGCTGTTTCTTATAAGCAATGAAGCGTACTGTGCCTCGTATTGTGCGTGTCTTCATTAGCATAAAATTCGAAACCGATCTAAGCATGTTCGTCTGTCCGTTTGTCCATCTGTCGCGTGTCAACGGTAAGCATTCTCCCGGTTACAAAAATGAAATTATCAGCGTCAAATTTGGCAGACACATTCGAAGTTCGTCCACGCAATTGGACTAAATTGGTTAAAAGACACGCCCATAGTAAAACATAATCTCTGTTTTCACAATTAAAAAAAAAGAAACTTGATCTCTTGCTTATTACTTATAAACTTGAGAAAGGATGGAACTAAAAACATTTTGCAGGTATGCTCTCGAGATGGTTCCGCTGCATCTGTGTAAAGAGAGAAAAATCGCTCACGCTTACTCAGCACTGTAGAATATTGCAATTTCATCCTTTTATCGAGACGTCGAACTCCAAAGCCACTTTAAATATGTATTTGCTAGTCCGTCTGTCCGTCTGTCCGTCTGTGTAATTGCGATTTTATAAAACTCTTCGCATATCCTTGTCCTGCACTGTATTTCCAATAGCAATTCGAATTTTTCTGCGTCGATTGTGATAACAGGATGTTAAAGTGACTTCTTGGTACGCCGCAGAATAGGCCGCCGGGCCTATCATAGTCCTTCGGGCTCTCCTGGTAGCTAGGAATTACCAGCCGTCATATTGAGTGCAGCGTGCATTGTGTTTTCCCAAGCACAGTGAGAAATACTGTACTTGTGATAGTCCTTGTCTTGCTGTACTTTAGAATATGTCTACGGTATACCTATCGCGCGTTATCAAGGTTGTGAATGAGTTCTCTCCTTCAGCTCTCCCCCCCCGTGGGTATTTATCCTTTTAAATCATTTTTTTTGTTGTTTTTTTGTTTTTCATTTTTGTCAATAGCATCAGAGTAATAAATCAATTAAATACTTGTAAAATTGAAAAACAATTCTTTGAATGGAATTTTTACAATAAATTTGATTTGGCAAATAAATGCACTTCGCATGCGAAACGATATGCGGCACAAAACCGCGGCTTTACATTCATATCTCGAAAAAAGAAAAAAAAAAAAAAAGGGTCTACAAAAATGAAAAACCAACAAATCACAAAGTGACAAAATCAACAAATTTTTTTCTTTTTTTGTTTTTTTTTTTTGCGCAATATTGAATTTCAACAACAATTCGATGCTATTAGGATAGGATAGCAAAGGAGAGGGGCTATGAAGAAAAGCACTTTTGTTTAACTATCGTCACGTAACAAACAACAACAATAACAGATCGAGAGAGAGAGAGAGAGAGAGAGAGAGAGAATAGCATGAAGCCGATCCATCTTATGACAATTTCGGCAAAAGATGCCTTTTGTTAGACATGTGTGTACATGCGAGGCGAAAAGATAGATAAGTAGAAAGAATTGTAATGTTTGCCAATTTCCTAATTGATAAACGATTTTCAGTCTATGGAAAAATAAGGAAAATAGAGAGGGTTGATGGCATCATTAATCATTATTATATTGAGTTGAGAATGAGAGCAAAACTTGATTGTTTGAAGATCAATATGCTAATCATTGGATATTGTTATCAAAACACATGCATACTTATGCATAGAGTGTGAGCCCCTGTATGTACGGAAAAAAGAGTTACGGGTGCTGAAATCATCACTCTGGCCTCGAGCAATGCAAATAATGATGGGTTATCTTTCATTATTTAAAGAAACTCATCATGTTTTGTTTCTGATGTGTTTTTTTTTTGCTTCTTTGTCCCTGTGTCCCATTTATTCTTCTTTAAGTTATTGTTATGCAAACTATGAGAAATACATTTTTTCTTTTTTTTTTCATTCACCCTCCTAGTCAAAGCATCTCATACGGGACTGCTACCACTATTATTACTACTACCACTACTACTAATACATCTTCTTCTCGTTTTCTTAATAGTTTTATAAGCAAACAAACTAGTTGTTGTGGTAGAGTGATGCTGTTTGCCACCCGAAAACCTAAACAGGAGGGTTACCGAACGAATGACATAAAAAGAATATAAGATACTTGTGGGGACACACTCTCATTTATTTATGCAAAGACTATAATAGGTATGTATGTGTATTGATTTTCTTTATTTTTTACACAATTACTTACACTATGGACGAAAATAAATGTAAATGATTTTCTTCGCAAAATTTCTTGGTCCTTGTGACATCCAAAAGGACATAAGATAGATCGATCTTATCACAATCTGAATTCTGAATCGACATATAAGTACACTTATGGAAAGTCAGCCTTTGTATGGCAACAAAGTCTAATGACAAGACAAGTTCTTGATAAGACCATTAATTTTGATAGGTTTTGATAAGTTTAGTCTCGCCGTTAGACGATGCCAGGCGTAATTTCCGATATTGATATTTGATATGAAAAAGTGTAGCAAGCGCTTTAATATAGAGGGTAAAGTTTTCGGGAAAAAACTCTCAAACTATCATCAGAATAGTAATAATTTAGGAATGTAGGCAAAGTACATCTTTTTTTTGATACTTCTTAACTGACTTCTTCTTAACTACGCAGAAGAAGCAATATTTATTATTTGAACTCATTGGATTCATACTCTCGATCGTGACACGAATATTTCGACAGCAGTTACACCAACAAAAGATTTTTATTCGATATTGAATAAAATGCATATTTTAGCGACAGCGGTAAACTTATGTACTCTCTTAAATCTTCTTGTAGCGAGTCGACAAATCTACAGTTGTCGAGCTTACTGGGCCCCGGATTTCGTAGACACCGAG